ATAAACCCATTAGAAAACCCACTTAGACAAGCACAGAACTTCCATATTCTTATTTTGTCTCAACTCTAACCGTCTTGAAATTAACCAACGATGGATTCCCGCCAAATTCCTCAAAAAGAATGATTTCATTGGCTTCCTTGTTCACAAAAGAGCGCGGCACATGGTACCTAACATTAAAAAAAAAAAAAAAAAAGATATTGTAATTATCTATTAAATAATAATAATAATAATAATAATAATAAAATTGAACACATACATATATATATATATATCAATGTTTGGTACCATCTTTGTGTGGGCTGACCACAACCGAAGCTACATTTTTCCGAACTGTATTGGCCACGATAGTCGCAAGGTTTAGCCGAACAACCGTCTTTCTCGGCTACGTAACTCGGCCAATATCGCCCGAGACAATGCCCATTCACCCAAATCATCCCTTTACCCAGCCCTTGCAGGTCGACCACGACGGGATCCTTCCCTGACGGAGCCTTGAACGTTGCCTAACCAAAAAAAACATGACAACGAGCATATGTTGAGATAACAAAGATGGTATATATTTTCTTACTTTTACAGAGTTAGCGACATTCTTTTTGGTATACCTTGTACCATGTCAACTTCCTATCGAATGGGAGATTTTCGGATCGCCATTCATTTGTTGACTTGTCCTTCTTGTAGAACAATTCGTCATCTAAACCTCGCAAACCTACCTTATACGACCATTTATGTCTTGTTAAGTCCTTTATTATGGTCTCGTCGCCATTTCTCCCGATGATCTCGATTGGTCCAGGAAGCCCACTTTGTACCAGATCGAATTTTGGACCGTAATTCTGTTAATGAAGAAAAGTAGCAAAATGTTAAGTTTCAATTACAATACGATTACATTGAATAAATTTCGACATAAGCACCTGCAGTCCAACCGTCGCACTGAGGAAAGTTATTTGGTTTTTCCCGGGTTTGAGCTCCACTTTTTTCTCGAAAACATAGTTGAACACATTGTACCCAGCCCATTGCGAACCTATGAAGAGTTAGTCGGTTTCATTAAAAATCGAGGAAAAAATAAACACGGATATATAATAATCTTCGGAATCAAAACAATCAACGATGAATTTAATATAATACCAATATGGTGGCCATTGATATAGGCATGAAGTACATGCCCAGTTCCATTAACTCTAACGCTCATATTACGGCTCCATATGGGGTCGTTTTTGCCTATGTTCACCCTGTCAAACATGAGAATCAAACAAGAAAAACATAAATTCTTACACATTGACCAACAAACCCAAAACTTAGATAAACGAAATGACTTGTTTCCCAAGCTTACCTTGTCATATACCACAAATAATCGCTAGCATCATTGATGGCCTTCTGATCAATAAGCTTGTTCGCCGAGAAGTTTCCCTTTCCATGAACGACAGTATCATCAACTTCTTCAAGCCTCCAACTCCACTTTAAAGCATTTGCTTCATTTTCATCCGCTTCGTTCGACTCCCTAACCATCAAAGTAGTCGGAGTGTTCACCTATATGTTTACAAAGAAAAAGTTAATATAAAATGTACAAATAATTTCTGACATGATATGTTAATTAATGTATTTTACCTTGGCCGTGTTGTAAACTTCATGCTTACAATCTGGGAGTATGCTAACAGACCATGCTGGAATTTTATGTTCAACACCTCTATACTTAATTGTTGCATCACTTGTGGAATTGGCATTTCCAAAGAAACAAGTTGAAGTGCCATTGAGTGCATAAATGGTTGCCTGAAAAAAATCACATGATTAAAAGTCACTTAGCAACAACTCTAGCACATTCAATAATCATTTTCAAAAAAAAAAAAATAATAATAATAAAAAAATTTAAAAAAAAAAATAAAATACAGGCAAAATTATAATTTTAGTCCTGTTGGTTTGATTCAGTGGCGTTTTTAGTCCTAAGAATTGAACATTTTTGCTATTTCCTCCTATAAATCCAAAATTCAACGCAATTTAAGTCATTTGGGATTGGAAATGCAATAAAATTTAAAATTACAGTACTTAAATTGCTAATAAAAAATTTATCCATGAATTTTTTATTAGCAATTTAAACCCTTTAAAAATTTGTTGCAATTTCACTACCAAAAAACTAAAATTACAGCAAAATACTAAATTACAAGATCATAGACGAAAAGTTGAGATCTTGGCACAAAAAATGCAATTTTGCCTAAAAATACATTATGTTGAGAATTTGATACGTACAACGACGTGATTTCCATAGTTAATAGTCGAAATTTTGCCGTAAGTGAGGGCTTTTTCGACAGAATGCAACACATCGTGGAGCTTCTTCAAGTGTCCATATTTTGGCTCATTTGGATACCCTGTATCGAAATTTTTTAATGAAAAAAAAATAATAAAAAAAAAAGAAATCGCTTATAATATTTTTTTTATAAAAAATATCGGAGATTAATTAATAACTAGTATCGTGGCCCGTGCAAATGCACGGAACTATTAAAAATAAATGAAATAAGGAAACATAATTAGAATAAATAATTTTGATACGCAATTAAAATAGACTACTATATATAATGTTTATATATGTATATTTTATTTCTCAATATATATCAATATCTTGTGTCTTTTTATTTGTAACTCGAGAAGCAACAATGTAAAGTTCAGAATTAAAAGCCTAAAAGTAGATTCCTATATAATATATATATGTTCTTTAGTTTTTTTTTTATTATTATTAATGGAACAAATTGACATAGTATTAACGAATTTTTTTTTTATATAGTTTTCCATGAATTTAACGAATTTTTTTCTAAAACCGTTATTTATTTATTTGTTTTAATGAAATCTTACGATGTGGACCAAAATTTATTGATAAACGAAAAGTTGAGTAACTAAATCGATTTAATTGAAACATCATGTACTAAATGCGCAAATATATATAGTTGGGGTATAAGAAAATTCTCAAATTTATTATCTTATCACATTTTATTACAGTTTGTTTGAATTTATCATGTAATTTAGATCGTATTTTGACACTTAAATATATTATTTCCGACTTGTCTGGTTTTATAATTTATAATGTAATCTTATTTATTAACTATTATTTTCTATACAAATACTTACAATTTTTTTATTTGTGAACCATTCTTTTATTTGAATAAGTACCATATTATTATCTAGTATCTTCATATTTTTAGGAAGAATTTAAATATAAATTATTACTTAACATACATCATAAATAATTCACCGTGATTCAACATATCATGTACATGTAAAAAAAAATTTACTTTTATATTAATGAGAAATCAAAACAGACAAAACATTTTAAAATGTCAATCTATAAATGGTAATAACAAATTTAGGTCCACTTTTACAATTAACCTATTATTAAAAATGAAAAAAAATAATTAACGGAGGTTGAAGCACGTTTAATAAAATAATAAAAAATTAGAACTAACTTTCCATAAATAGTAATATAATGAGGGACCCCCTAAAACACTTACTATTTTTAGTAAGTGAGTTGCCTAATTATATAGTAATAGATTAAGTAATTATAAATATGTGTGGCTTATTACCATATTCATTGAGTGGGGCATCATAGTCATACGTTGTTGCAATGTACGGACCACCAGCCGTCCTACCAAAATTTGTGCCACCATGATACTACACAACAAATATATATAATTATATCATAAAAAAATTAATTACAAAAAGGCAAAATATATACAATTATTTCATTATAATTAAACCTTTTTGGATTTTTATTATTATTTTATACTGACCATGTAATAGTTCTGAAACGTGCCGCCGTTTTGGAAAAATCGCGCGACTGCAAATGCGAGATCCTCAGCTGTCCTAAGTGGAGACTTACCACCCCAATTCTTAAACCTAATTAAGCAAAAATAATAATAATAATAATAATAATAATAATAATAATAATAAATACTAAATATTATTAAATGCTACAATAAATGCTAATAATACAGATTAATTAAAATAAATATATATATATATATATGTTTTTAATTACTAACCATCCAGTCCAGTTTTCTGTCCACATTTTAGGGCTGTTGGGGTTATTTGGCGTGAATTGGTCGCAGTAGAAACCATTGCATGTGTTAATCTGCCCCAACACATAATAAAAACTATATGTTAATTAATATATATATATATATATATATATATTTTAATTTTAAATTTTTATAATATATAATTATATATATATAAAAGATATATAATTAATTAATTACCATAGAAAATGGCGCGTCATTTTCTTGGCACATAATCCATGGAACTCCAATATCGAGTGACTCAGCCATTTTTGCGCACCAATTCAGATATTCTTTCCCAGCATTTCCATATACCTCATTAATATTTCCATATTCATTCTCAATCTAATTTTTTTTTTTTTAAAAAAAAAACATATACATAAATTTTGGCCCTTGAAAAATAAAATAAATGCGGATAATTAATTAATAATATTAATTAATACAACAAATTAACCTGAGCAAGGATAATTGGACCTCCTTGTGAAGCGAATAGCTTCTCTTTCTTTACCAAATCCACGATGAATGTGGTGAAATTTTGCATCTCTTCCTATCAAATAATAATAATAATAATAATTACATGCTCGATTAATGAATATATCATTTAAAAAAAAAACATTTTTGAAAACGAATAAATACCATGAACACTTTATTCGACGTGCGAAGTTCAATTCCAGGCAGATTGTGCAACCAAACAGGAAAACCCCTACAAAAATTGCATACAAATTAACGAGCACATGAATTTTAATCAATATTATCAAATACTATAGACTAATTACTAAAATATAATAATTAGACTAAATAATAAATTAAGTAGAATTATTTTCTTGCATATATAAACTTTTGCCAAAACTTCATTTTTAGGAGCACAACACTTTTAATCCCAAGATTTCAAGTTTTTGTCTTTTAATTTACTATTTTGCGGCAATTTTAGTCTTTTGACACTGAAATCGCAACAACATTCGAATTTATAGAACTTAAATTGCTTGTCAATAATCCATCCAAATTCTGTTTGCATTTTCAGTACCAAAAGACTGAAATTGCATTGAATTTTAAAATATAGGACCAAATAGCAAAAATATTCGATTCTTAGGACTCAAAACAACAGTGGATCAAACTAACAAGACTAAAATTTTAATTTTGCCTATAAACTTTTGATTTATTTATTATTGTAAGAGTACGTACGTACCCATAGTTCCACTCGGCACAAACATAAGGTCCAATACGAAGCACGGCGTAAAGACCCTCGCTCCTAATAGTGTTTAGGAACCTTATTAGATCTAAATTCCCGCTAAAATCATAGTGTCGCCTACGTGGCTCGTGCGCATTCCAGAATACATACGTCTCGATTGCATCTAATCCACCAGCTTTAGCTTTCTTAATCAAATCACCCCACATCTGATCATCATCATCATCATCATTAATAATGAACAAATTAATTAACTAAATTATTATTATTATTATTTTTTAATTTATTATTATACTAATTATGGGCTTACATCAACGGTGCTCCTTGGATAGTGGATAGAGCCGGAAAGGATGATCCTACGTTCGCCGTTGATCTTGATGCCCCGTCCATCATGAGACACGTGAACGGCCACGATGCAGTTGAATGCCAGCAGAAGGTATGTGAAGAGGGGAAGAATTAGAAGAAGAGTTTTTGAACAGTTCACCATCTTTCTTTGCTTGGTCGTCAGTGTTCTTTCTTAATTTCATGACTAATTAATTATGTATCCATTTATATAGATAATTGATCAACGTATGGATAAGATTTCCAATAATTAAGAAATTAGAGTATATCCAATTTCTTAATCGTTATCTTAATCATTATCCAAAAGAATTTGAATTCAACAAGAAAAAATATCTATCTATCTATATAAAGATGACTCAAAATTAAGATTTATCGTATTAACATCATAATAAGATCATTATTTGAGTCTTAGAGTGTGATTTCGTAATAAGATTAAGATAGATTATGTCATTTTGTTAGTTAACATATATATTAGTTTGTAGTAGGATAAACTTATTTTTTCCAATTCGTACTATAAGTGCTTTTGGTCATAGCAACCTACATTATTTATATTGTGGTAAAACACAACCTAAATAAATTTGATCATTTGTAGAGGTGGAGCTAGGATTTAAAATTACCCGAGGCTAATGAAATTGGGACCTCCGATTCACGTTTAATGCCAGGTCACGTTATTGGATTACGCAATGCCGGGTCACGTTCAAGAGAACTCATATCAATAGAGGCGGCAACATCTAATTGATCGTCTTCTCTTCGTTCCTTGATCCTCCATTATGATTGAAATCTATTAAATTAACAAAAATTAGTAAATTAATCAATAAGAAATTCCCAAAACCCAGTGCCGACTCCAGGGGAGGCACCTTAGGCCCATGCCTAGGGCCTCCCATTATTAGGGGCCTCATTTTTTTTTTTTTAATGTTTTATGTATTTATGTTTGGTTTTGTTTATTTACACAAATAAAAGAACTAATAACTAAATATAAATTTGGCCCATTACATAAATGAAGAGGCTAATTAATGAATGAGCAATAGCAAAATATATACTTTGTGCAGAAATTTGAGGCTCCAAATATTTCATTTGTTTTTTTACGATGTTCGGTCAGAACAGTTGTGTGGGAATAAATATTATTTGTTGTAATATGATTTTCATTTTCTCTTTTTTTGTTGTCTTCGTGACTGCTTAAATGCAATTTATAATTTATTAAAGGTAATTTTTCAATGTCTAGAAAAACAAGACAAACTATTTTTTTTTTATTTATTTATTTAATGGTCTTGTTTAATTAGACTGTTTCTTGTAAGATTCTATCTACAAATAATCTTACCACGCAAGTTCTAATCTAAAAATTCGAAAAGGTAAAATTTGTCTGGGGCCTTCAAATTTCTGGAGACGGCACTGCCAAAACCAGATCTAACATATTATTTCGAATGGAATTATTTATAAAATATGTAGTTAAGCACTTAAGCAGCAGCTTACTCCTTCTACCTTTCCGGCCCAGATATAGTCTTTATAGTCACACGGGCCGGAGCAGAAAGGCTTTCTTATTTCTCAGAGATTGAAAAGGGCTGAAGTCCCCAACTAATCCACCAATAATAACAATAATCTATTACTGGTGCATCAACATTTTTATCAAACTTTCGATTTATTAATATTATGAACACAAAATTAATAAATACTATCAACTTTGTATTACTATATTAAATAATTCTGTCATCATAATTATAATGATTTGTGTGGGTCACATGAAATGATGAACCAGGAACATGCCTCTATATTATATGATAAAACAGGAACATTTGATTTTATTCATATATTTTTATTGTGTATACATTCATAACTTCAAATATATCTTACTTTTTCTAATTTATTTTTTACTTTTCTATCACATTTTTTTGAATCAGACAAAAAGTTTATGAGAAAAATATATAAGACAAAAACTGAGAACAAAATTTAGAGCTCCAGAAAATTACAAGAATTTATTCAACAAACAACAATTTCCACAGCTTCCAGTTACTACAACACACAAAGAAATTGAATCATGAACCAACCTTAAACTTCATGTATTGTTATCAGAACAATCATTGAGCATTAAAATATAATTAGATAAACAGAAAATCATTACTGAGCAATAAAATATAACTAGTACAATACCCGTCTACTACACATGAACTTGATAAGAAAATTATTTTTAAAATTAAATAATAATCACAACAAAAAATATTTAAAATAAGATATATGTATTTATTAGGTTAATTTGAAATTTTCATAGAAATTAATGAGTCGATTGAGTGTTTTCAAAAAAGAATTAAATTTATATTAGTTAATCAATTGCATTACCAAAGGTTACTTTGCAACTTAAGGCTACGTTTGAATTGAGAGAATTAGTGATGGATTGCGGCAAGTGTAAAATTAGGTAAACTTATATTTACTGTACCTATAAAATAAAGTTGAGAGTAATCGAGTGTAAAATAAACTTATATTTATTGAAGCTACACTCGATTACTCTCAACCTTTATTTTACAGGTATAGTAAGAGCATCTTTAGCAAGAGCTTTTGGGTAGATTTACAAACCCAACTCCAAGGCTTTACTATTAAACTTCATAGGTTTAAGGTTTACAAATTCACAACGTGTTTGCAGATATAAACCTCTCTCAAACGTTATTAAATAATAATATATATTCAAAGTGGGTAACCCACTTACTTTTCTTCTTTATTTTTTTTATTCTTTATTTTTTTGCTTTTGATTTCTTTTTTTGGTTTTTTTTNNNTATATTAAGAGCTGTGGTTTATTTGTTTATAACAATTTAATAAAAATTATTTGTTTATAATTTTTTAATAAAAGTTAATTAGTATTCATAATTTAAAATATAATATTTATAATATAACAAAAAAAAGGATAATATCAATTAACCTTTTTATGATATTGTTTATTATTTTATAATTTCAAATTATAAACTTCAATTTTTATTCTAATTAATCCTACATTTTCTATTTTGTTATTTGAACAATGTTTGTCGGCGTACGTTCTACTTTCAAAATAGCTCGATTTCACTTGTTTTTATTTTTATTTTTTATTGTTTGTGGACAACACATTAAACTCGTTTTTATACCATACAATTGATTTTTTATACTAAAATATTTAAATTTTATTTTAACATAAATAACATACTTTTACTTATATCTTGTTCGATGGATGTTTGTTAGTGTTCGTTCTACTTTGAAAAAGCTTGCTTTCAATTGTTTATTTTTAGAACACATCTAACTTGTTATTATCCATACATTTGAATTTATCTATAGATACTAAAATTATTTCATTTTTGTTTTAATTAAAATACCTTACATATTATCTGATAGTACATACTGTGGATCGATGCCCATCACAAATACTTGGGTGTGCCCTGGCACACCTTGCTAGGTTTGCTAGGGCGTTTTGTGAAATATACCTCCCTCAAAAGCGCGTGAGATAAGAAGGTAAGACATTTTTTTTTAAATGAGACATGTGTCTCATTTTTATTGGGCAATAAAATTCGTATATCATATTTTATAAATTAAATTATCATTCATATTTTGTATCAAAAAATAAAAATAAAAATATCAAAATTCATAATTTTTCATTCTCTACAAATAGAGACCACATTTGATATTTTTTGGAACACAATTAATTTATCATTTTTTACAATTAATTTATCTTATTGGAAGATTATGACATAAATCTATAATTAGATGAATATGTTACATACTAAGATGAACATGTTATAGAGTAAGATGAACATGTCATAAAATAAGATGAAAATGTTAAATTTTCACATATGAAATTTAGATGAACATGTTCTAAAATAAGATGAACGTGTTACATAATAAAATGAACATGTTATATAATAAGATGAACATGTTACATAATAAAATGAACATGTTATAGAATAAGATGAACATGTTACATACACAATAAGGTGAACATGTTACGTAATAAAATGAACATGTTATAGAATAAGATGAACATGTTATATAAGATGAACATGTCATAGAATAAGATGAAAATGTTAAATATTCACAGATGAAATTTAGATGAACATGTTCTAAAATAAGATGAACGTGTTACATAATAAAATGAACATGTTATATAA